GTAGTATGTGGGACCAACGACACGGGCAACCGTCCGTCGATGTCGCGTCGCTGCCACTTGTCACTCGGCTTGAACGAGTCGCGCCACGCTCGGAGAGCGTTGTTGTGGTTGTGGCCAAGAGGAGCTAGCTTCTGTCACACCTCCGCACCCGCGCCTTCGTTTGGAGTGAGCACCGATGGGTTGAGTCGGTGGGCTCTTGCAGAAACACTGCCAACTCCTCCCAGTGGTGTCAAAGCTCCGGTCCACCCATTAGTCTCGATCCGTTCTGACGCCAAGAAAAAACAAAGAACGCACGGGACAAGACACCATGTCGTCGTTGGATATCGTCTCTCACTCGATCTTGATGTTGCGGTATATCCGCTTCGTAAAGGCGCTGCTGCCATAGTACCCGATCGAGCCGCACATGATGAAAAACGCAAAGCAAAAGAGTCCCCTACCATCAACATATATGAGACAATCATGCACAATGTTGTCATCCACGTACATGTAGCCAAAGTAAAAGCACGTCTGCAGGAAGCCCGACATGTTGGTCTTGCAAAAGTAAAAGTAGATCGCGTACGCAAACACGTAGAGCGCGGTCGAGCCCGCCGAGAGGAACGACGTCCAGTGCCAATGGTAGTTTTCCGAGTTGAGCAGAAAGTACGTGCACACAATCGTGACGCACACCGTGACGACCGAGAGGATGAGAAACACGAGCAGCATGAAGCCGTAGACGTAGTAGAACTTGTAGTTCCAAAACGACGCAAAGATAAAGTACATCTCGATAAAGATCGAGCCAAACGGAAGGATGCCCGTGAGGAGCCCGAGCACCTACCACCATTGGTGCATGAGATGACCACCAAAATCCAAAAAAAATGATTTGTCGGATGAAAAATCCGACAAATCTGACAAATCGAAAAGCACTGTACCACGGGGCGCAAGTACCAGCGCGCTTCGGGCACTTCGCGGGGAAACTTGTTGACGCGGCACGGAAACCCTTTCTTGGCCGCGCCGTGGCGACCGAGGATCGTGCCCAGCACCGAGAGCGGGCACGAGACGAAGAACCAGACCAGAATCACTTGCACAATCGTCACAAAGGGAATTGCATACGTCGTGCCGTACGCCACCGAGAGCGCGTTGATAAAGAAAAGCGAGACAAAGACGACCGACGGCAGCAGCGCGATCGAGAGCACCATGGCCTTGATCCAGTCCTTCGAGACGCGCGGGTAGAAGAACTGGTGGTACGACGCGCCGCTGGCATACCCGTTGGCGAGCGACGAGAGCGCGTAGCACGTGAGGCCCACCGAGACAATGCCACCGGGCTTCATGTAGAGCGACGAGACGATCGAGATGAGGATCACAAGCAGCGTGAGCACGAGCAACTGGGCACCTGTCCCGAGGAGCGCACAAAAAAGCAACAGGTTCTTCGGGGCGCGAAACACGTCGCCGTGCAAAAGCTTCCAGCCGGCCGACGACTCGTCCTTGAGCATCGAGCTCGTGTGGCCGGGCTCGAGGAGGAGCTCGTCGTCGTCGGCCGCGAAGCGCGCATAGTCGTTCCGGAGCGTGCGCAGCAAGATGAGCGCGACGAGGCCGCAGAGGAAGATGACCATCATGAACGAGTTGAAGATGCTAAACCAGTGGATCTGGTGCTCAAAGAACCTATACATACCAGAGACATGTGTGAGATCGGATATAGGATAGCTCGCCCTACTCGTCCTCGAGGTAGCGATCGAACCGGTCGTCGAACGCAATGTCCGTCTTGGTCCACGACACCTCGTAGGTAAAGTCGATCTTCCTGCAGTCGTCGCAGTGAATGAGCCGCCGGCGAGGCATGATAGGGAGATGCCTACTTGTTGGCTTGGATCGGCGTCGCCACGTCGGCGTACGTGAGGTTGACATGGATGATGTGCGGGCCGTTGTACGAGATACTAAACTTCTTGTGCGTGTAGAGAAGGTGCGTGCCGATGGCAAACTAGACGCGCGAGGGTGACTCCAGGATGCGACGTTGGATGCTACCTCGTTGACGAGCTCCGGCTCGTCGTCGGCCTGGACGACCTTGCCGACAAGACCCCATACGGG